TAATTAGTACAATAAAATTCAAACACCACATCCGCAATTATTGAAGTAAAAGACGTTCGAATAGATTAGTACTAAGTTGTTTATCTTTTTTCCTTTTATAAAAAAAAACTCATTACAAATGAGAAGAGCAAAAACAGATGAAAATTCTACATAATTATATAAACAACAACAACAATATTTATAATTTATATTTCTTTCTCAATGTTTTAGTTTTACATAATAGTAAAAGACGAATACACTTTTCGATTATTTTACATTTCATCTGTTCCATCTATATTATTTTTTTTAATTTTCTTACATGTTCGATTGGTAGACGAGGGTTAACCGAGGAATACAAAAGGGGAAACGAAAAAAAAACTACGGTGATTATATTTTACTATATAAAAGGAATTAAACGATGAAAAAAAAACATTCAGTAAGTCTTTATATTGACAAAGATGTGTACTGAATGATAAAAAAATAGTTTCCTAAAATCAGTTTTGACTGTTGAATCAGGAGGAAAAATTTTCAAACCTACAATAAATTTTTGTTACAGAAATTACTTTTTATCTCAATGAATTATACATTCCTGGAACCAGCGCATCAAATTGTATCGGGTCGCGTAAAGAATTTCAATTAGATTTTGTCAACGTTATAATATTCAGTTATTATCTCTGAGTGTTAACAATATTTTGATATCTTTCAGTATAATGCCAGTAGATCTTTATGGATCAGATTACCACCGTCTTTGAAGTGTTTTTTCTCGTTCTTTCTTTCTCTTCGTATCCTCTGTGCTTATATAAAAGAGTATACTTGCCTTCTTTTTTAAGTTACGTTTAGACTGTCAACAACATGGTGAATATAGCCCATATTTTAGTCATTCTTGAAATTATATTCCTGGCCTTAGTTTTGTGTTTAACGATAATCTATTCGACTGCGATTCTATCGCATCGTCGATTTTATCATCCGAATAATATGTTTATACTAAATATATGTTTTACAATAATGGCAAGTGCTATTTTCTTTATGACGTATATTCTTTTGGGAATCTTCGATTCGCGACGATTCGTCATTTCTGATGTTTGTCTTATAATTTACTATGCATATTGCATAGCTAGTGTTCAAATACCATTTGCATTTGTTGCATTTACTACGTATCGATTTTGTTTAATACTGTATCATACTCNTTTCAAGTGATTTCCGTAATAAAAGCATTGTAAAACAGCGAAATTCCTCAAAAAATCATGATTTTTATACATATAAAAAAAAACCATCTTTTCTCATGTTTTTACCTACTAAAAGGCTTGTAAAATTCTTTTCATATATAGGGTTTTGTAGAGCTCGTCGAGCTCTATCGATCTACGTAAAAAAATTAGCAAAAAAAAATTTACTCGATTTTTGAATTTCGTGCACCTTACTACGTTGTTTATCTTTTTTCTTTTATAAAAAAAAACTCACTAAAAATAATAAGAGCAAAAACAGATGAAAATCCTACATAATTATATAAACAACAACAACAACAACAATCTTTATAATTTATATTCTTTTCTCAATGTTTCAGTTTTTTACATTCCATCTGTTCCATCTATATTATTTTTTCTAATTTCCTTACGTGTTCGATTGATAGACGAGGGTTAACCGAGCAATACAAAAGGGGAAACGAAAAAAAAAATGCAGTAAGTCTATATATTGACAAAGATGTGTACCGAATGATAAAAGAATAGTTCCCTAAAATCAGTTTTTACTGTTGAATCAGGAGGAAAAACTTTCAAACCTACAATAAATTTTTGTTACAAAAATTACTTTTCATCTCGATGAATTATACATTCCAGGATCCAGTCCGTCAACATTATAATATTCAGTTATTATCTCTGAGTGTTAATAGTATTTTGATGTTTTTCAGTATGATGCCTGTAGATTTTCATCAATCAGATTATCACCGTGTTTGAAGTATTTTTTTTCTCGTTCTTTCTTTCACTTCGTATCCTCTGTGCTTACATAAAAGAGCCTACTTGTCTTCTTTTTCAAGTTACTTTTAGACTATCAACAACATGGTGAACATAGCCTATATTTTAGTCATTTTTGAAATTATATTCCTGGTCTTAGTTTTGTGTTTAACGACAATTTATTCAATTGCGATTCTATCGCATCGTCGATTTTATCATCCAAATAATATGTTTATACTAAACATATGTTTTACAATAATGGCAAGTGCTATTTTCTTTATGACGTATATTCTTTTGGGAATTTTTGATTCTCGACGATTCGTCATTTCTGATGTATGTCTTATAATTTACTATGCATATTGCATAGCTAGTGTTCAAATACCATTTGCATTTGTTGCATTTACTACGTATCGATTTTGTTTAATACTATATCATACTCGGCCTTTCTTTCGAACAAATAAATGGGTTATATTATGCATTGGTGGACAATGGATTAGTGAATTTGTTATTTCAGCGCCACTGTTTCTTTTACTACATGATGTAAGTGGAGTACATTTCGAATGAAATTTTAGAAAATTAACTATAGAATCAAGTGCATTTTAAAATAGGTTAATAGGAGGAAAAGAAATGCTCTTACAGTATTGAGGATTTGAGCAGATTATAGTGTGAACCTCTTTGCTTAATTAACGCATTATTTTTGAACGTAAGAAACACTTTTCGATCTTGATTTGGCAGCTGAATTTCTATAATATCTGTTATTTTTGAGTTTTTCATTATTTTTACAATTAAACATGAAATTGTTTTTAAAATAGTATTGCCAACTTCCATCATGGATACTCATTTATTTATGCATTTGGGTCACTATAATACCATCATTTATTAATGCTATTTTAAATATTCGCATGTTCATTTATGTTCGATCGTCAGCTCATCGTGTTCAACCTGCATTTACTGTTAGTAAAGTTACAAAAGTAACTAACGTTCAACAGCAGCAGCAGCAGCAACAGCAACGATCATTGATTAGTCGTCGAGAAATATCATTATTACGACAAATGATTCTTATGTTTATTACGTTTATGGGTGGTTGGGGTCCAACATATATTCTATTATTTATTACTGAATATATTTCTGTCAATAAAATTATACGTTCATCTTTGGAATTATTATGCATATCATCTTTATTAGTTTTAACTATCAATTTAATCATATGTAATCGTGATATACGACAACACTTATTTACTAAAATTTGCTGCTGTTTTGTTCATGGATGACATACTCAACTAAGAAAACTTTAGATCCATAATATATTTCTTTTCAAAAATAACATATAAAGTAAATGAAAGCAAATAATCATTGATGTTCTACAATTTTATTGCAATAACGCCTTTCTTATATATAAGAACTAGGTCAGTTCTTGAGTTTGAACATAAATATCTCTAGTTTTATCACACTGATTTCCGCCCAATCAAATTGAAATAAAATTCAAAGAATAGAAGCCATTTAAAGCTAGCATGGACTTTTCTACATTTTTTATCAAAAAATATCAAATAGAATACTGTTTCACAAATACATTAGATTATACTGTCGTATGTTCATAGTTGCATAAGAAAATTAATATTTCTCGAGTCAATTTCATTCTCAGATGGATAAATATTCTTAAAACGTTTTTATTCTATTTTCTGTTGTACGGATATACGTACGCATCATGGTACAACATTTCCGCGCATCACATTGTTCCATTGACTATACAATTGAACGAATTTTCGCTCAAACTCAGCTGAAATAACAACATGTTATTTAAGTGAATAATCACTCTATTTCTATAATTAGATTGGCGTCGAAGCAAAATGTCTGTATAGATTATAAGATTATATAGGAAGATGAAAAAGTTTGACACAAATTTGCCTTAAGAAATGTGAAAGTAGTTTTTTCGTACGCCTTATTTCAAGATCATTTACAATCAATTCGTTTTTTTTTGTTATCCAAGTGCTGTGACGTGAAGCTATTTTCAATAAGAGCATTTGTCTACGACAAACGAATCCTAACCCAGCGTGCACTCATTAATATGGGTACTCAAGGGTGTCTCGAGCATCCAAAGATTGGGGGACGGGGGCGTGCCTTGAAAAATCATACATAAAATATTTCATAAGTTTATTGTGTAAATATCTGTTCGAGTGTTTTTTCAAAAATAAACCAATAAAGACTATTTCAGTTCTAATGCATTCGAGTTAGTATTTTAAAAAACTACACATTTCACAAAAGTCTCACTCTTCTATTCTTCAAATAAGACCATTTTTTGGCAAAACTTGAAAGATCAGTATTTTCTAATAAATCGCGTTCTGCCTGAAGAACTAATTAACCATTCCATTTTGTCAGGTATTAACGCAGAACGTAATTGATTTTTAATAAATTTTAATTTCGAAAACCAACGTTCATTTGTCGCAACAGTTATTAGTAGTGCGAGTAGAAATTGATACACGCGGGTTGAATTTGCGTACCCATGTTTAATTTTTAAAATTTTTATTGATAAATTCGACCATTTCGGTAGAACTGTCAATATCATTTTTCAACAATTGTAATGCTGATTATAAGAGCCCAGGACTTGAAATACTAGCTACAATTTCACAAATTTTCTGAGCAGCTTCTGTAGTTAATTGATTTATACGACCAGCAAAGATATTACTGAAATGTTGAAGTTTCTCTTCAATCAGCTTTTAATATTCAGATAATGAAACAATTAAATAATCCAAAATTTTACGTATTAGTTTGATGTAAAATCCAACACTAAACGAAACGAACTATAGAGAAAAGAAAACAGCTACTTCATGAATTACTGTACCGATTCAAATGAATACTGGTTTTATAATTGGAATCAATCTTCACAGATCGTTATCGTTGATGGTGATGTCGAGCAAATTCATTTTTCAATACCAATACCATTATGTAATGCTTGCCCAGGTCGAACAATCCCATACTCGGATCCCACCGGATCCCATCGAATCCCATCGGATCCAATACTGAATTTTATCGGATCCTACAGGAATTCGACGGATCCGATGCATGGATTTCCTGGATTTTCTAAGGGTCATCATAGAAAATAGCTAGAAAGATCGCTCATAAAATTTGCAAAAACCGACGGGATTTTTCCAGTCGGATTCCAATGCAATTCCGTTTCCAGGAATCCGATCGGATTTTGTCAGATGGTCGGATCGAGCATCGGATTTGTTGACCTGGGTGATCATCACACTCCTAAAATACAAGAGTAATCGAAGTATTTTATGGAAAACATACCAACATACATAAATTTCAAATGGTGAAAACGAATCTATTTTTGTTTATTGCAATCGATGTTGATGAAAGATAAAACATCTATTACGTTATATAGGAAGAATACAGATTGATGAATATTTATTCTACAGTGCAAATACGTAAACATTAAATTACATTTTATTTTATTATCGTATCTAAATTCGATTTAATTCATAATATGACATCCACAAAACATTTCTTGCGACTTCATACACAGTATCGCTAACATTATTTTATCTGAAAAAATGTATTCAAAACGAATTTTTTCTTAAAATAACGAAATGGTGGATGATTATCAGTGTGAAGCTAGCACGAAGGAGCTAGCACGAACAAACGATGTGTTAGCTAAAAACTTTTTTACTAAGTATGTCCCGTTCATGAAAACTACACCATTCGACTCAGAATTGAATTCTGCATCGAATGGTGGTACTTGTATTCACCGGACAAACGTTGGAAAAATTCTATCTATATCTTTGTTCGTTTCTTTTATGTCTATTTATAATCCAGATAGAATTTTTCCAAAGTTTGTCCGGTGAATACAAGTACCACCATTCGATGCAGAATTCAATTCTGAGTCGAATGGTGTAGTTTTCATGAACGGGACATACTTAGTAAAAAAGTTTTTAGCTAAAATATCGTTTGTTCGTGCTAGCTCCTTCGTGCTAGCTTCNATTGAGGGTTGCGGCCCGACCCCCGTCCCCCCCCCCCCCCCTCTCTGCGGGGCACCCCTGAGGAAATATGTTATACAACGTACAGAACAAGAATTAAAAATGCTTTATACTGATAAATAGATATTTTCTGAGTACAATAATGAAAAAAGTGATATTTACGCTCGATGGCATACATCCCTAAGATAAAATGATATAGGAAATTCATTTTCTCTTCTCAGCTATTGCAATCTATGGAATCTGTCGAGCTGACATAAATGAATAAGCTAACAGCGGAAAAAACAGCTCTAGATATGATCCTTTGGGAATTTATTTACTTGTTATCTATGTATATGAAGAATAAAAACTATTTTTTTTTGTTCTGAATATTACAGAATTTAGATCGATTTTCGAGAAAAAAAACAAGCTTATCAGTATATTCGATAAGTTTTCTTTCATTACAAATTCATTCAATCTACGACGAAACCACTCGAGATATCAAAAAATTTGTCAATCTTTGATATAATGATTAGATAAAATGTATTAAGGAGTGATATGTTCCAAGGTGGTTCATGCTCAAGTTCAGATTGAACTGAGACATCGTCTTTTTACAAATATTGCTGTATACAGAAAACACGATATCTTGGGAATGTTTCGATCGGAAATTCTGAAACTTTGTAGATATAAGCTACTGTAGTTGAAATGTAAATTGAGCAAATTTTCATGCAAAAACTCGAGAATTCGGTTAAATTGGCGAAATCAAGTTCTACAATTATATCGGCAAAGAATTATGAATCCAGTTCATTCTTTAAAATGATAATTTGACATTTAACTCATTTGTAAATAATATAATGATATTCTTCTTTTTATCATTATGAAAGATTAATTAGATAATAACAAGTTGAACAAATGTTCATAAATAGAAAATGTCTATTAAAGTGTTATTAACATCATTAAATAAAATCTATTTTTTAGTGATATTTATTTTCTAGTGGTTTCTTATTATAAAGATCTGAAAAAATTTTATGCTTGTTTCGGAATCTAATATAAAAGTTAAAAGCATTTCTTAATGTTCTTTATATACTTCTCAAATTAGTTCTTAAATATTTCATTGGAATAAACAAGTTGACAAAAGAAAACTAAAAGATTGACGTCATTCGTATTTCTAAATGACATTATTTTAATGAGTAGATGTATATAAGCATGATTAATTTCTTCTAAAATTTCTAAGTGGCAGAGAAAAATCGCATAATTTATCTTTTCTCTTAATAATTATAACAGAAAAAAACTACAACATCTTTGGTATTCAGCTTCTAAAGTTATTCTTCTTTTTTGGTGATTTTCAAATGAATTTTAATCTCTCTAAAATTCTCTTTTTAACAAAAACAATCGGAGTTAAAAGTTCACCTCCAATTCTTTCTAATCAATCAAAATATTTCATTTTATTGATCTTAGTAATCCCATCAATTCTTGCTTATCTTATAGCAATTGGTTTTATATTTCTCACTAAAACTTATCGTACAATGCCAAATAATTATAGTATAACAATAATATTATTTATCTCATTTATAACAACATCAATTGATCTTCCGATTCGAATAGATTCATATTCTAATCATCCAATTCTTAAACGAACAAAA